GGGGGGCCGGCTTGGCTTTCTTCACCTTGGGGGGCGGCGGCGGCGGCAGCAGCTTGGCTTTCCCACGGTGTGCCAAGGGGGCCTTCCGGGCCGTGGGCTTGGCCTCCCGTCGTTTCACCAGGGGAGGGGCCCTGTTCCGGGCTTTTGGCGGGGGCCGCTTTGGCATCCTGCCCGGGGAGCACAAGGTCTCAGCCAGGCCTGGCACAGATCCAGAAGTGCAGCAGCAGCAGCAGCAGCAGCAGCCGAGCCCCGCCAAACAGCAGGGCGCTCCCAGTCGCTGGCACCCCCTCCCACTGGCCCCCTGACCCAGCAGCTGTGGGGGCGGCACACAACCCCCCCTGTACCTTTTCTTTGGAGGCGGCTCATCCTCCTCGTCCTCGTCCTCGTCGTCCTCATCCTCCTCCTCGTCTTCCACCTCCTCCTCCTCGTCCTCCTGCTTCTGCTTCTCGGGGAACAGAATGCCGGGGCTAGGGGGAGAAGAGATGTAACCCCGAGGAAGAGCCCCTCTTGGCTAGCAGCACAGCAGGGAAAGACCAACCGGCCAGAGGCAGCCGGCAGACCCCCTCCTGCTTGTTCGGGTGCCTCTGGGGCAAGGGACCCAGCCATGAGGGTGCCCCCTGAGTTCCCCCGGCCCCGGCTGCCCGAGACTCACCTCGGATAGTAGGGGAAACACAGCTGGAAGGTGCCGCTGAAGCCCTTGCCGGAGATCTGCTCCATCCAGCCATACTTCTCGCACTTCTGCAGAGTCCTCTTCAGGAGATGAACTGCAGGGTGGGAGGGAAAGCGACATCGGGGGCTCGGTCCACCATCCCATAACAGCTGGAGAGGCAGACCTCCCGGGGAAGGCTCAGAGGGCTCCTGACAGAGGGCCCTGCGCTGGGTCTTTCAGAAGGAAGTTCAAGGAGAGCCACAGCCCAGGACCCCTTCTCAAAATGCAACCCAGAGCCGGGCAAGTCAGCTGGCACCAGAATGCAGCATCTGATCCCAAGGGCATCGGGAGTCATGCCTTTGGCGCTGCCATCCTGGGATTCCCTGGCCAAGGGAAAATACCCACGGCCTCCATCCGGCAGGATTCAAAATGCTGGAGGGCTGGCTGGTGTTCTGAGCTGGAGGCTGGCAAGCCGAGCAGGCGCTTCCCTGGGGGCAGTCAAGCCCACCACCAGCAGCCCCCACTGCCTGCCTGCCTGCCTGCCTCCCCACAGAACACCCCACAGCACGGGACCAAGGGCAGGCCTCATCTCACAGCAGGATCATGCAGCCTCCCTCTGCCTGGACAGGCACCTGCGTTGGCTCTGGGAGCCAGACACTGGCAGAGCTGCCCTCGGGAGCAGTTCTGCTCAGAGCCCGAGGAAGCCGCAAAGAGCCCATGCCCTGCGTCGGCCCAACTCTGCCCTGAGTGGCCACTCCTGCATCTCCCCACCTGCTGCAGGAAGGGCCTGGCCTCCCCCACAGCCTCATTACGAGGGACTCGCGGCCTGCTCTCCACCCCCCCCCGAGGAGCCAAGCCCGCTTGCCGACTGTGCCCCTCCTGCCCGTGCCACCCTGCCCAGGGCCACAGGGGACCAGCCCAGCTGGGGTGTGCCCACGGGCGCTGCAGCCGCCCTACCCTGGAGGCTGGAGTTTGTCCCAGGGTGCTTCTCCAGGACATATTTCTTCAGAGCGGTGGTGGAGCAAGTCTTGGGCTCGTTCATGGCTGCGATGGCAGACAGGATGGCGTCCTCCATCAGGCTTCCACCAAGCAGCGGCTTCTCTCCAGACTTCTTCAGCTAGTTCGCAGTATAATAGTAAGGGATGGGACTCTTGGAAGAGAGAAGGCAGCGGGAGAGGGGCCGCCCATGCTAGGCAGGGCCCAGCGGCCCCCCGCCCTAGGCCCTGCAATTCCCCAAGGAAGGGGGCGCGTAAGCAGAAGCCCCCCTCACCCACCTGGAAGGTGCCGGAAGCCCCCTTGCCTGTGATCTGCTCCAGCTGGCCCTTCTCCACCGCCCTCTGCAGGGCGTTCTTCAGCAGCTGGGGCCTAAGGGAGGGAAGCCACAAGGGAAAGGCTACCTCGTCTGGCTGGGCTGCAAAGCGAGCGGGGCAAATGCCCCGTGCCCCGAGGCGGTCCCTGCAGCACCTGCCCGGCCATCGCCCAGCCGCCAAGGGGCTGGGCCCAAGCATGCGGCATGCCTGCCTCTGGGCTCCCCTTACCTGACGTCCACCTTCAGCTTGGGATAGTACTGGGACACGTATTTTTTGATCAGGCTGTAGGAGGCCTCCTTTGGCTCGCACAGGCGGGTGAAGGCCAGTGGGAGAACATCCTCCAGCTTGACGTGCTGCTCTGGGCCAGCAGCTGACGAGCTCCTCTGAAACAGGCCAGGTGTGCTGAGGCTCCCCCTCAGGGTACCAGCTCAGAGCCCAGAGTGGGGTCCAAGGCTCCCTCCGCCTTCACCAGATTGGGCCAGAGGCTGCGGAAGGAGGCACGGCATGGCTGCCGCGCCCCTCCTCCACCACCCAGGTGCGGGGGCTGCACCTGTGGAACTCCTGTCTTCCTCGGGGCCCTTGCAGAAAATCTCACCCCGAGGGAACCAGAACTCTCCTGCTGGCTCCTTCAGAAAATGTCTCCGCGTGAAGGGCCACGGGAGGCTCAGGGCCACGGGGAACTCCACCGGACTTACCTTCCGGTCCCTGGACTTGGATGCCACTTTCCCTGAGTTTGGGGCCACCACAAAACTTCCAGAAGCTCCTTTTCCTTTCACCTGTGACGGAAGAAGTGAGGCGGCTTCAGGCCGGGGCAAAACCCCCCATGGCTACAGAGTGCCCGAGATCCTCTCTAAAGCCGGTGGACTGAAGGGGGGGGACGTGGGGCTTCCACAGACGTTTATCCAACTCGGGTTCGGCCTTGGTGGCCTCTCGATCCAGGACGCGCTGAGGCAGAAGCTGCGGCAGGAGGCAAGGCACAGCCCTGCCCCAAACTCCAGCCTGCAGCCTTCCAGAACAGGCCAATCTGCGGCCCCAAGGGGGCCCCGGTGCCTGGCGGGCTGCCCTGGGCTTACCTGTCGTATGACGCCCCGCTCTAGCTCCCGCTTCAGGGCCTGCTTCAGGAGGTACCCCCTCCGCTCCAGCTCCAGTGAAGGGTACCTGCTGATGATGTACTTCCGGATGGCGACCACCGACGCCCCGCCTTTCTGATAGCACGCCTGCAAGAGACGGGTCGGTCAGCAGGCTCTCCTGGCCGAAGGGGCCCCGAGGGCAGCAGGGCGGCCTCCTCCTGGCATCGGTCTCGAGGGCCAAATGGTTATCGGGATGTTTCTCTCACAACTTCAGAAGAGAGGTCTTTCTCCCCGCCTGTCTTCCCTCCCTCCCTCACCTTGATGGCTTCGATCAAAATGGCATCCATCTTGGGCCGAGAGGAAGCTGCCATCTGCGTCTGCTTCTGCGCTCTGGCCAACTGGCTGGCAGAGAGGGTAGCCCAGGCGGGAATGGTCTTCTTCACTTTCTTCTCCTTCTCCTTTGCCGGATCCTTCTCCCTTCACAAGTGAGAAAAACGGTGAGCGCCCTGGAGGCAGAAACGAGCTGAAAGCTGCCTGCTTGGAAGACCAGCTTCCTCGCTGCCCGGAGGGGCCTTTCTTGTCAGGCTGCCTATGAAGCGGGACGTCCCGGCCAGACTGGTCTGCGCTGCCTGCTGGGGCGAGAGGAAACACCACCCAGCCCTGCCACCAGACGCCCGCTGGATGTGGAAACTCACAGCCAGGCGTCGTCGTCGGTCGGGAGGTGGATCCAATCCAGCCCACCCACCAGCGTTGCCGGCCCGGCAGCCTCACCCAGCACAGTCTCTCCTTGCCTCCAACAGCCCACCCCCTCTTGTCCAAGGGCGCAACTAGGCCAGCAAAGCCATTCCAGCAGGTGCCCCAGCTGTTCCTCAGGGAGCAGACGGATCTGTGCCTCTGCCCCACATCAGCACTGACTTGTGCGTCAGTCTCCTCTCCGACAGGAAGGAAGGAGGAGCCACCCAGCGCACCAAGGGAGAAGCCTGCGGGCAAGGGGGCTTTGAAGGGGGGTGGGTTGCATTGGGGGAACAGCAAGGGACCAGGAGCCCACAGAACACGAGGATGCCCTGGCACCGCCCTCGTCCCTTTGGCCTTCTTTGCCCGGCTGCCCCTCCCTCCCCCTCCCCTCCCCTCCCTCCGAGGCCTTCCCGCTTCCCCCGCGATTCTTACTCCTTCTTGGCTTCCTCAGCAGGCTTCACCTCTGCCTTCGACTCCTCCGGAGGCTCCTTTGGTGGCTCTGTCTCGCTGGGGGGAGCCAGGGGCGTCGGATTCTCCTGCTCCTCCACTGTGGAGGCGGATTCTTCCGAACTGACATCCGGCTCTGAAGGGGAAGAAGAGGGCAGATGGTGGCAAAGGAACAGGCACTCCCTGCCGAAAACACACCCTTGGACCTCCTGTCTCTCTACCAGGGCCAGGCGGGGTGGGGGGCGCTGCTGCTTGGGAAGAGAGGAGGGGCCACGCATTCCTCTGCGGCGATCCCGCAGGGACTGTGCCGGGCCTGTTTCAGTGACCGAGGCTGGGGCAGGGGCTGAGAAACCCTCCGAGCTCCAGCCCCTGGCTCCCCCGCTCTGTCCCACTGCTGAAATGCCTCAGAGCCCAGCCCGGGTGTTGCCAGCAGAGGGCCCGCCTTCTAGCCCAAAGGACCTGGGACAGGGCACCAGGCCACCCAGCGCTGGCAGGGCAACAATCTGACTCTCAGGTTAAACGAGGAGGCAGAAAGGAGGTTTAGAGCTCACTGAGGGCTTAGCATGATGCATGGATGCAGTTAAGTGGAACGAACGTCTTTGTGGCTCAACGTGAGCCAGGCCGATAGGGCTCGTTCCGCAAAGGAAAATTTGTGCAACATCTCTATCCACAGCCTGAATGACACTTGGACCCTTCCCGCAAGAGCCAGTGATTCTGCAGCGACTCAGTGGGCAAAGCGTGGTGCTGACCAATCCGTGGTCTCTGCCCCTCGCCCGCAAACTGCAGTGGCCAGCGTGAGAATGAGAAAAAACATCTTTACCTGGCTTGGCCTCCTCACCTTCAGCAGGCTTGCTTTTGGGAGGAGTTTCCCGAGAAGAGGAATTCACCGCCCGGCGGATTGGCATGGCGCCGTCTTCGACCGTCTGGGGAGGGAGCAAAGCCAAATTACGAGAGGCACAGAGAGGGAGGCCCCTGGTGGGCTGAGGAGCCCCACGGCCATCTCTCCTGTGAGCAACCCGCCCATCTGCGAGGAGAGGCGACCGTGTGCGGGATCATCAGCAGGCTGGAGGTCCAGCTTCCTGCTTCCACTTGATATTAACAAGAGTCGCAAGCGTTTTGCTCCAGCTCAGAATGACAAGGGGGGAGTGGGGAGGAGGGAGCACTGGGGAAGCAGGAAGAGGAAGGGAGGTTGGATGGAGCCCAGCTGAGATTCCTAGAAGCAGGGGGAGAAAGAGCACAACGGCCCTCGCAAGGGCCCGTCCAAGGGCGAGCGTGGAGAGGGGTCAGCCCCTACCTCACTCAACTTGTCCAGGGGAGCTCCTGTTAAGAGTGGAAGTGCCTTACGGTGTGCGGGATCAGCTTCAGACAGATCAGTCGCCATTTAAATTAATGTCTAGCCTCAACGTGAGGGTAACACTTTGGAGCCCCAGGGCTTAACCTCAAGGGGAGGAACTTCCTAACAGAAGTGCAAAAAAGATTTGGGTGAAGAAAGTTAACAAGAACAAGGACACAAAAAAATCTTAAACCGCATCTAGCTCCCTTTCGCGCAACAGACTTACAACCAAATAAAAACTCAAACCGGTCTCAGGTCCCTCAGCTGTTAGCTCAACTAAGACAGCTAAGCTAAGCTGAAACCACCTCCGAGAACTGGCTGCTTGGCTAGCAAGCTGGGGAACAGTGCAGGGGAGCTTCCGGTATGCAATGCAGCAAGCCAGGGGGACCAAGAGCAGGCGCACCTCCCTACGGAGGGAACCAGCGGGGGCTCCACAGGAAGACAGGTACGCACAGGCAAGTATTTATCCGGTTCCACTGAGGAAGCGCCCACGTGGCAGGAGGGACGCGGGTCAACACTCAGCCAAAGCTGAGTTCCAAAGGGGAGCAAAGCAGAAGCAGCCAAAGAACAGACTTTGCTGCCCACCAACTGCACATGGGTGCCCTGGCAATTTTTAAGAACAATCCCAAAGTATTCCACCAGCTGGCATGCATCTCCTCTGCCACCCTGACCAGAATCCAAACGAGTACTAAAGAGGCCCACTAATAAACAGATCACAGTAATACACAAGTTTTGTTTCAAGGGGAGACGAGGATGGCAGCGTAAAATGGGTACACCTTCTCTTGGCTTTCAGCTCCCTTCCCCTCCTTTCTAAAAGTAGATGAAATATGACACTCAGAAGTCCAAGGAGATTACCGCTTTTGCCTACTGGGAGGGCAGACCTCTCCCCCTTCTAACTGAGCTGAAAGAGGAATACAGGAACTATTTTTTAGGATTACAATTTTGGGAAACAGGGTACACCAACAAGGCTGCTGGTGGCCTCTTCCACCAAGGTCCCCCAAACCTTCTTAGATGTGGAAGAAATGGGGGTGTGATAAAGGCCAGACCTGCCACCACCTTGCCTTGAAGAGGTTGGGCTTTTTTTTAATAATTAAAACACACACACACACACACACAGGTCAAAAAAATGCAGGGCAGCAGCAGCAGCGGTGGATCTAAGCAAACGGTAGGACCATGTTTGTGCCATTCTTCTGGTCTCAGCAGGCCGTAATGGCTCAGTGTGTGGAGAGACTGTCCTCTGAAGGAAGCAGCCTGGAGGCTCAGGTTCAGCTGGCCTGAGACAGACTCTCTGGGGGAGAATTCCAGCCAGGTGCTCCACGCAGGGAAGTCTACTGCTGGTTTGCCCCACCAACTTTGCAGGGGCTTGTATCAGCGAGAAGCAAGAATGTGGTTTTGCAGGCCATGGAGAACTGCGTCTCCCCCTCCTCTGTTTGTGCTGGCACAGAGTGCAGGTTTTCAAATCTCCATCAGCATCAAGAGCCAGCATCGAAAAAATAGACTAACTGGTAAGCCATCCCCAAGCATTTGAACAGCAGAGAATGTTAATAATAGCAGCAAAGTAATGCTTTCATCCAGTTTTGAACCACCTATAATAGACACTACAAAATGAAATCTCCAGGCTTCCAGGATTGGATTTCTTAAAAAACAGGGGAGGAAAAACAGCCAGAAAAAAATCAACATAATAATCTGTTTCTCCTTCCTTTCCAAGGAGGGAACCCATTTAACCTGAGGGAAAAAATCATATTACTTTAAAATTTACATCAGCTCTGCATTTCTAACACAGAACGTATCTCAACCACTTGGCATTTCTGCGGGTGTCAGGCAACTAGTAAGGCTGTGTTCCTGCTTCACCAACTAAAACATTTCTGTCCTTCCAAAAATCTTTCGAAGCAACAGCCCAAAACAAGCTCGACTCAACAATGTTGTTTAGCCGGACTGCACAAGGCCAAGTTGCAAAGAGTCACTTTTCAACAACGTGGCTCGGAAGCCAAACACCTCCACCACCTTCTGCAAAACACGGGCAGAATATTTGGGCCCGGAAAAAAAGTCGGAAGCCGTTCCCATACTTTGCCCCAGGTAAACAAATGCATCTCTACGCACGCCTATGTGTTCCTTAGCAAAACAAGCCACGCTGAGCGTAAGCAGCGTATTCTTCCCGAGAAGGATGCTGAAGCCGCAACACCCGTGGAGCTTCCGGCTGTGACAGAGCACCCGGGGATCCTAAGCGGAAGACAGGCACGTCTGAATCCTCCCGGAGACCCCTGAGCTACTTACTCTCTGCATCGGCCTAACAAAGCCTGTTAAGCTCCCGTATAAAACGCGAGGCCTTGAGCTTCTGGAAGGAAGGGGAAACAAAAACGTAAGAAACTACCTCCTTTCTGGGAACCCCAGGCCTCGGCCGAGCAGCCTCCCGGGCTGGCAGACGGTCCCCTTGGCTGAGACCGCGCCGGGGTCCGGCTCGCCGCCTGGCTCGGGCAAAAAAGCTGCGGCCCGGGAGCCAAGCGTCTGCCGAGGGCCCGCCCCTCTCCCAGGCGGCACCTGCGAGCAGAGTCCCGGCCGCTTCGGGGCCGTCCGGCGCCCCCGCCGGGTG